TTCCTGCTCCATCCCTCCCCTCCTTCCCCTGCCTCTCCCGCTCTCTCCTTCCCTTTCTCTCTCCCTCCCTGCCCACCTCCCTGCTCTGTCTCCCCTCTCCAGGGGCCACGGGGCGTGGGCTGGGGCTGGGGGGGCCGGGGCACGGCGCGGGGTCACCCCAGGGTGGCCGGAGGCAGTGACGGTCCCCAAATCACCGCTGTGGGCTGCAGGTCCAGGGGTACACGGCCAGCGGTGCTGTGGGGCCTGTTTGCTGCACTCTGTTGTGCCGGGGTGCCCCATCCCAGGGATCCTGGGGTGCCTGATCTGGGGTGTCCTAGCACAGGGATCCCTGGGTACCCCATCCCAGGGATCCTGGGGTACCCCCTCCTGGAATGCCATGTCCCAGGGATCCGGGGGTGTCCCATCCCGGGGATCCTGGGGTACCCCATCCTGGGGATCCTGGGGTGCCTGATCCAGGGGTACCCCATCCCAAGGATCCCTGGGTACCCCATCCCGGGGATCCTGGGTGCCATGTCCTGGGGATCCTGGGGTGCCCCATGCCAGGGATCCTGGGTGCCATGTCCCAGCGATCCCAGGGTAGCAGGTCCCTGGGATCCTGGGGTGCCCCATCCTGAGGTTTTGGGGATGCCTGGTGCTGACTCGTCCGGTGTACCTGTTGGCACAGCCTGGCACCCGGGGGTGCCGCACATGGGCCGTGGGGTCCCTCCAGCCCATTGCCATACCCCGCCCCGTGCCAGCACCCCCGGGCAGGCGCCGGGGCGGTGGTGGGGGATCAGGCCCCCACGCCGGGCATGGCCAGGAGGGTGCCAAGCGCCAGCGTGTCCCGGCCCCCTTGGCGGGGACAGGGACAGGCAGCCCGGCTGCGCCTCGGCACTGCGGCGTCCTCAGGGCCGGCGGGAAAGCGGGGGCTGCCGGGAAGGGAGGCAGCAGCCTGGGCCGCGGCGCGGGGATTTCGGGAGCTGTCGGAGGCTTTGTTTGCAGGATCAAAGGCAGGAGGGAGCCCGGAGCCCCCAGCTCTCCGGGGGCACAGCACAAGCTGGGGACAAAGCCAAGCGGGTTGGGGTGCCCAAGCTGTGGCTGTGCCCAGCACGGCTGTGGCAAGGCCATGGGGCACCCCAGCGAGCAGCCCAGCCATGCCGTGCCGTGCCGTGCCTCCGCAGGCGGAGGCCATGCTGGGGACTTAGCGGCTTCGTTATCTGCAGCTCGCTCATCCCCAGAAGGGATTTCTGCCTTCCCCTCTCCCGCGCCATGACAGAAATAATTTGAATATTTTAGAAAAACGGCTTTTAAGGGGGGAAACCGCCGGGGATAGGCAGCTCCTCTGCCGAGATGTCCCTCTCCCCGCTGCCCTCCCGGGGTCCTGGTCCCCGTCCCCTGCCCAGGGCCGGCAGCACACACGCGTGTCAGGCATGCCCCACGCGTTCCCCCCACCGCGTCCTGGTCGATACCCGCTGGCCGCGTGATGGGTGCCGTGACGGGACACCGAGATCAATCCTGGCTGCTGCACGGGGCGGGGGCTCGGCAGAGCACAGCTTGGGGGGTCCCACACCCCCGGCAGCCCCTCCGAAACGTCCAGGGACCACGGGTGGCTCTGGGGGGGCCCCGGCGGGGCCGTGCTGGAGGCAGCTCCATGATGCTGGAGCCACTGGCATGACGGAGCACCGGGTGCTGCTGGCGCAGCCGCCGGCGTGCGGGGCACCCTGGGCCCTGGCCGATCCCCCTCCTCTCTCCCCAGTGGCACAGACGCGGTTCGTGGAGGAGCCGGAGGACCAGACGGTGGTGGCCGGCCAGAGGATCGTCCTCTCCTGCGTGGTGCTCAATTACTCTGGGATCGTGCAATGGACCAAAGACGGCCTCGCCCTGGGCATGGGGCAGGGGCTCAAAGGTACCCGCGGGGCGGCGGGCGGCTCTGGGGATGTCACCGTGCGGGGCAGGGGCTGTCACCGTGCGGGTGCTACATCTCCTGCGGTGCTGCTTCCCCCCGCCCCGTGTCCCAGCTCTGGGCAGCGTCCCCGGCTGCTGCAAGACTGGTGCCACGTGCCCCAGCAGCCAAGCACTGGCTGGAGCTCGGTGCCGGTGCTCCTCTCCCTCCTATGCACACTGGGGGCCTGGCGCGCACTGAGCATCCCATGTGCGCCAGGGATCCCACATGTGCCAGGGATCCCACATGTCCCAGGGATCCCACATGCACCAGGGATCCCACATGTCCCAGGGATCCCCCACGTGCACCAGGGATCCTGCATGTCCCAGGGATCCCCCATGTCCCAGGGATCCCACGTGCACCAGCGATCCCACATGTGCCAGGTCCCCGCTGGCTGCCTGTGTCCCCACTGGGGCTGGCACAGGGTGCAGGCAGAGCGCTGCCTGCACGCCGGCAGCCCCGCGGGTCTGCCCAGGCTGTACCCAAACGGGCAGGAGCTGCTTCTCCATGACCGGGGGTTCCCTTCCGCACTGGCCTCTCCTCCCTAAAAAAGGGGCCCTGGAGAATTGGGGTGAACCCCGTCCCCTCTGCGCTGACCCCCCTCTGCTCTCCCCGCAGCCTGGCCACGCTACCGCATCGTGGGCACGGCCGATTCAGGCCAGTACAACCTGGAGATCACCGACGCCGAGCTCTCCGATGACGCTGTGTACGAGTGCCAGGCCACCGAGGCTGCGCTGCGATCCCGCCGGGCCAAGCTCACCGTGCTGAGTAA